TGTTTTTGGAATTAGTATTGCTCTTGTTCTTGCTATTATTATTTTTCCACTTTTTGCTATTGATTTACTCAAAGAAAATATTCATAGTAATTATTCAAAACATATTTTTATTTACGATAGTTTTTATTTTTGAGTTAAAACTTTCGAATTTTCTTCTTTGTTTTTTCCGTAGCATTATATATAACACGATAATTAAGATTAGCTTTTATTAAATTAACCTTATGATAGATAAAAGACTTATTCGTGTATATAGACGACTAATGCAAGATTTTATGCAATTCACATTAAGTTTTTCGAACGAAAATATAGTCAGTAGAAGTTTTAATTCGACATTTTAATGTTCTCTCATATCAACCAGCACAATGACGACAACCGTTGGCCAGATTTTCATAGCAATTTAGGACAACAATCGTGATAATTCTTTTCTCGAGTTTCTTAGCAGCAGAAAAGAGCGTTGAATGGAATTTAAAAAAATACTTAACCTATTTTAGAATATTCTAATGCCTTTTTTTATATTAAAATCGATCCATAACTATACTTTTTGAGAGGTTTTTCCCCTAATGTATTTTTTTGTTAATATAATAAGGCTAAAACATACATGTTAATTTCACATTTTAGCCTTAAATAAGCTATGATAACAACCTTTTTGATATGAATACATAAACTATTTTTGAGTTCTTTTTAAATTAAGAATCAAATTCAATTTTTGTTTTGATTGAAATAACTTTCTGTTTAGTAAATTAGTTATAAATCTATAAGAATTCTCTGTTAATATATTAAAAAAAAACAAATTGATTCGTTTGAATATATATATATATATATATATTTTAGAAACATTAGAATTATGTCGAAATAATGTTGAATCAATAGTACATATATACAATAAAGTATTTCATCATGAAGATAATCAAGAAAATCTAATCGATTTTTCAACATTAGATGATATTAAATATTATATTGATAATCAGAGACGTACTTTTCATAAATTAATAAGTATTCAACGAACATTAGTTGGTTATGCATCGATTGAACCATCTTGTTGGTGGCTAAATAATGGATTTTCAGCTTCACGTTATAAAACACTTGTTCAACAACAAATTGATATTTATAGACTGTTATATCATATTAGTTCATCTGTAAGTTCTTATTTAAAAAACACAAAATAATTTAGTTTTGTTTTCGTTTATTTAAGTTAATACGAATAAATGAATGTTCTCAGATGGATAAAAAACAAGTTGAAAATCTTCGTATTTGTGCATCTGATGGTTTATTTCTTCCTGATCTTTATGTTGAAATTCGTAATTTAAGTAAACAATTAAATGATTGTTTTCAAGTTTGGTCATCTTATTTTTGTTTAACACAAACAAAATCTTATCAAATACATCGTGGTTCAATTCATCATAGAAAACATTTAATTAAAACTGATTTAAATAAATATGAACAATGTTTAACTGAACTTCATCGAACTGTTGTTTATCTTCAAATAGAACATCAAAAATCAACAAATCGATTAATAAAATATTATTTTGAAAGATTTTTATCTGGTGAAATACCTGAAAATTTTGTTCCATTTGTTAAAAATGATCAAGCTGATTCAATATTTATTGCTATGTCAGCTATGTATTATTCAATAACACAACTTACAAAAACAGCTTTAGCTTTGGCTACAACAATACATGATGTTTTTGAACTTGAAACAACTGATATATATCGACCTTTTTAATTTTAATTACTTTTATTTTATTATTAACAATTTTTTTTTTTATTGAAAGTCTTTATAATCGTATTTTCATAAATGTAGAAGAAATTTTAATTTTTTTTTGTATCTCCATGATTTAATTGATTTGTTTTCCATTA